TAATGTTAAAATTAAAAATTTTCTGAAACAACGTTTTGAAATTATGATATTTGAAAACAATGAAAAATTGATCCTATTAAGAAAGTAACACGAATTACGGAACAAAGCAACTCAATCGAATAAATCCGAATTGTGTAATATCCTAAGCCGCGTGCATATGCACCCGATTATTCACTGACAATGACTACATAAGTCCTGGGTAATTAATAAATCATTCAGAGATTACAAATCTAATGTAATCCTTTCTAATCGCCTTTCTAAATTCGAAAACTAACGTCAACAAATATTCTGACAATAGAAAATGAATCAGAGGCAGTAGTTGAAAGAGAGATTTCAATCTGTCTAAACTAATACAACTCAAAGCTACAAAATTTTATTATTATTTATAACTCGAAAATTATACAATTCTTTGAAAGAATTACATTTCCTCAATATTTATATAATTTTCAGGATTTTACTTCAATATTTCAATTCCCTAAATTCAGGATGAAGCTAATAATTGGCATTTAGTTATCAGAATAAAATTAGCAGAAAGAAAGAAATTGTGTGAAAAAGAAAGAAAAGGAATAAATGAAAATTAGTATCTCCTGATAATGGGTATATAAATTTTATGTACACCTTAAAGATGACCATGGTTCATGAAACGCAAGTACATCTTAAAGCATATAGATATCAAGGAATTAAGGAGAAAATACACCTTTACACAGGTGTGCAATACTGTGACTCAATTACCTTAACTTCCACCGGATAATACCGGCAGGTGAGCCATTCTCTTGATATTTAAGAAGCCTTGTACTTACAAAGATATAACGCGATGTGGTCTAGGGATAAGGACTTTATCAATTACGCTCAATTAACCCTATTAAGCCCGTAATCACAAATTACGATCTCAAAAAAGAAAAATTAACACCATGAATCACTATAACACCAACTAACAAATCTTTATTCATCTCTCTAAAAATTGTATTCTCACTCAGAATACTCAGAATTTTTCCACATACATTTCCCACCACTATTATACAGTATACCAAGGCGTGAAAAAGCAAGAAATCTAACAAAAAGACGAACAAAATAGAATTTATCCCCCCTACCTCTGTACTTCCGCCCTTCGGACTGCAATTTGAAAAACGATTTTTGAATAACTACAACTTATTCATTTTTTTTCCCAAAGAAAGAAAATATAGAGCATGTCAACATAGATATTTCAGATAACGATCTAACTTGAAGGAACGAAGTATTTTACGAGCAAAATGCTTTGAAGCACCTCAAGAATGCCACAACGAACCGATATCTCCGGTAATATCCTTCCTTTTTGAATGCTAGGCAAGTAATTTTTTTGACTTTTACTCGTAGCGTGGAGCATTCAATACAAATGTGAACAGGAAACCATAAACATCCCATTGCATACACTGTCAGCAATATTATCACAGAGTGGAGAAAGAGAGGAGCTTCAATGATAAATTGCCGCCGCACACAATTTCACTCTCTTATTTATTTAAGACCTAGTTAGTCTATTATTGTGAAATTATTTGACACTAAGAAATCTTAATTGATTGACGCGCGCTACACTACTGTTTGTATATGGCTTTACAATTTAATATAAATTGCCACAGAAATCCAATAGAACAATTATTTTGACATAACAGTACCTAATTGAATTCATTCGTATGTAATCATCTAATTAATAGTAATAATAATAATAATAATAATAATAATAATAATAATAATAATAACAATATTAACAAAAATAAAAACAATAATAATGATAATAATAATTAAAAATCGAATTGAATTTCATTTAAGGAACAATTTATATTTTTTAAAACCATCTCTCGGCATTTGAATCAATTAAAAATAACTAAATTGAAAAACATCAATCACTGATTCAAATCAGTAATATTTCTACTATAACCATTTAGTTAAAAACTAACTAAAAATTCTTCCAATATATGATATAGGATTAAAATTTGGCTCTATTTTTCTACTAAGAATTAGTTATTTTTTTAGTAACAATTAGTAATTTTTTACCTATTCTACTTGCAATTACTAATTTTTTATTAACAATCAGTTATTTTTTATATACTAATTACTAAAGCGAAAAGTCAAGCGAGATTTTACGGGTAATTAAGTGTTTTTAATTAATTAAAATATTTAGAAAGTGCAGTCCGCTAAATTAATTATAATTGAGATTGAGACAGAAACTTTAATTGTAAGAAAACTTCACAACATTTTTTTCTCACAGATTTTCAAATAATTCGAAAAAAAAATTATTCTCTACTTATGCTGCTAAAAATTTTAACGTTCAAAATAAACAAAATTTATTTGTTTCTTTCTCAAACTTAAATTTTATTGTATAATAAAGTTGCTCTAAGAAAGAAAGTTTAATCGTTTTTGACCAAAAATAACACTAAATTTGAATTAATAAAAAGTCACTAACTATAATTTAAATAAATAAATATATTTCTACTAACATTCTTAGTAATTTTCTACTGAAACTTAAAAATTTTTATAATAAACTAACTTCAAAAATTTTAAACTTTACTAAATAGTAAAATTTTACTGCAAAATAGTAAAATAGTAATGAACATAATTATTACAAATTTCAATTGAAAAACTCTAATTCAGATTTTGAGAGCAGATAAAATTTTGTTTCCCGCAACAATTACAAAAACCTTTTGTTAATAAATTAATAAAAATATAATATAATAATCAATTCGTAGAAATCGAATCTACTCAAAGAATCTATACACATTTAAAGCTGGAAGCATTCCAAAATGGAAAGCATCCAAAATTCAAAATTAAAAGTACCGGAAATTTATTGATATTTTACTCACATATCGAATATTAGAGTATACATTGTATATCGTTAATGTTTCTTTAATTTAAATTGTTATATAATGATTTAAATAATTAAAAATGTAATTACTCGACAATCCACATTTTTTCAAAAGACGTTTTCTCTTTGAATTAGTAAACATGGAGCAACTAATTCACTTTAGCATAAAAATATTCAATAATTTTCAGAAAAATACTACTTTCTTTAGTAATTCTAATTTTCTTTACTAAAATTTTAGTGAAAAATAACTAATAATTAGTAAAAATTCCTAGTATTATAAATTAGTGACTCAATTTCCTCAAGTGGCTCAATTAGTTGTCAAATTTAAAAAGTTCATAATGAAAAGTCGATCAAAGAATACAAAAACTAAGCAACAGAAAAACTAAACAATAGAAAAACTAAACAAAAGCGAAATCTAAGCAAAAACAAAATCTAATCGAAAACAATAATAAAGAAACAGAACTGATTACAATTCAATTAATAAAAAAAAGTTTACAAAAAAATGCGGGAAAAAAATTATAACACAAAATAAAAAAAACCGTTAAATAATAATAAAAACACATAAAAAACCATTAAAGAAGAAATAAAATAGAAAATAATCATTAATAAGAGAAAAAATTCCTTTTATAATAAAAATAAAGGAATCATTAATCAAAATAGAAATCATGGGCGCTACTACGGAAAATTATTTTCAAATGGAATACCAAACTACAACCGCGGGTGTTCAATCAACCTAATTTTCTATTATACTCTCTTAAGATAAATCCGAAGTTAATCGTTTTGACCTCCTAAAGCCTAGCCACATAGCAATTTAAACCTCTAAAGTCTCATATGTTACCTCTTAACCCCTTGTGTATAACGAATCGGTTTTGAAAATATAATCTATTTACTATATACATATATAATAAAAAAACTTTTTAAATTACTAAAATATTTTTTTTTTATCAAATTACTTTTCTAATAAATATGAGAATATTAAAAATAAAATTCGCTCATATTTTTCAATACAGTGCTTGATTTAAACAACTTTGGTAAAATTTACAACGTATAATCAACAATTGAATATTGAAAAAATAAAATAATTTGCACACAGAAAACAACAACAACATAATTATTCTCTGAATAAATTTTTTTTTTAAATTGATCAGAAAAATTTGTTATAAAATTTCTATCAAAGAATCTTTTTTTAATATCTAACGCAATTTTAATAGAAAAATATTTTTTCTTCCAAATCGTTGGCGTTATGAACTTTGACAACGTGAAAACTAGCGAAAAATCTGTCAAAAAAAGCGTTGCAGCTTATTTTAATATTTGACAATTTTTTCCGAACAATTTTTAGTAAAAACTTAATAAAATTCTTATTTTAATATTTGACTATTTTCTCCGAATATATTTTAGTAAAAACTTGATAAAAGTCTTAAAATTTCTTTTAGAAGCACATTATAGTTTAAAAAGTTGTTTAAAAATACAAACATCAATTTATGATCTATTCTTGACTTATTACCTTCAAGTTCATGCCAAAAAAAAACTGGTTATTCCAGCTTCAATTGCAAGCGTTACCCTGTTATTCAGATATATATGTATTTCTCTAGAATAGATTGATGTATCTGACAGCTAATGCTTATCAGAAACTGGATCAACCAGTCCTGAAACGTGTTTTCCAAAGAAAAGAAATGCTGGGTAAATATCTACAATTTTCAAGCAATCAGAAAGAATTGTATAAACTTTCAAGTCTGACAAATTATTAACTAGTTTGATATTATAATTGATGCGAAATTCTATTTTTGACATTTAAGTTGGTAAACTTGTGAATAATTTTATTTACGCAATTACTTAATAAGAAATAATTCTTTTTTTTTCAAATTTTTGCGATAATTTCGAGGAAAATTTGAATGATAGGTAAATTATTTTACAACTAAAATATTGTGGTTTAAGACAAACTGGGAAGCCAGTTTGTTTTTGCTATAAAGTATACCCAACCCAGTTGTTTTATCTCATAAACCCGGGGATGAAACACCATTGGAACGGAGGTACAGAGGACATACTTGCACGTATTAACCGGACCGTTAAACTTGGTTTAATGGTCCAGGAACGTGACTATCCTGATAGCACAAGTAATAGACTTTCCACAATTGAAATTAATGAAGGTAGCAAAAGATTTTACCTTTAACAACAGGAGTAGTACAGAAGACGACCAGCAACAGCAACTTCATTTTCAGCATCACCACAGCTCTAGATCCTATTTGTCCCTCCATGATTCTTGATTCTCCAAACACACTTTTAATTATTTTCCTTCAGCAATCACTTGTAATACCCGAAACACTAAACACAACAATTAAATAAAAAATTGTCCACGTGTTATTCAAAATCATCGAAATGACAATACGTCAACACTATAATTATAATAAAACACTTGATTTTAACACTCCGCGAACTTTTATTTTTAATTCTAACCTCAAAGAATGTTTCTTTTTCTCTTCAGAACATTGTTCGTTTAATCTATTTTCAAAAACACAAACTATTTTCTTCGAATGTAAACAAAAAATTGACACGCGACTTTCTTCTCATCTCATTATCCTCCTTAATTGGATATTCGATCTTGACCGTCATTCGAATAAGAAATCAATAGAGTCCAAGTTCTTAAAAAGTATCACTGATCTTGAACTTTAAATCCATTTTCGTTGCACACTATAGAAATTCCAGGCCCATTGAAATCCAGAATTCAGAAATCCAGGAGATGAAAGCGTTTCACACGGATGGTCGAGCGCGCAAGTCAGATTCGTGAGTCAATGACACTGGACTGGTAGCATGCAGGTTTATATGTAACGTTTACTACCGGCGACAAAACACCCACTAACTCACATCATGAGGGACATAACCTGCCACGACATTCCGGATTTTCGGGATAATTCTCTCAATCCCACCGGTACCGTCCATCAACTGCCTCTGGGCTTTTGATCTCTAGCGCGCGCGGCCAATAAAACAAAAGTCCCCCTTTTACGCCCGATTGGAAAATCTACTTTTCTTCTCCAATTCTCAGGATCGATTCAAGTTCACGTGCTCGGTCAACCTCATCTCTCTCGTGCTTGCCAAAGAGTAAGAGATGAGTTTGACAGTTAAAAGTCCATCAATACACGCCCCAATCACGCGACTTTTCCATCCAAACATAAGACGATCCTTAATTTCATTTTCCTTGAATAAAATTTCATTTCCTTTCCCCTTCACTTCCACGACAATACTGAAACAATCAGAAAAAAAAGACGATAACAGAAAACAAATTCACAACAATGACACCATAAATCCTTATTGTACTGTCACAGGTTATGTCACTTATTTTTTTTTTTTTCAACACATGTGGGAAAAAAAACAAAACTAAAAAACTCCCGCGAATAAACACTATTTTGATCGATTTTTTCTTTTAACAAGATTTTGCAATATATTGAATTTTAACGGCATTCGTAATCCCGCTGGATAAAGACTTACACGTATGTACGCGGCTCACTCGGGAGTGCTCGAGAGTAAAGTGAACTGCCGGTGAAAGGGAGGGTAAGAGGCCTCTGCCCCCGCAGAGATCGACGGAAAGAACCGGGTAAAGCCGAAGTTGAACGACACACGGTCGAGCAGCATCCCGACCCGTGCCCAACCCCCTGGACCAGCAAGCCGGCGACGCCGACGCTCTCTCTGCCCTACCTCTGTCCACGACATAAACACTTCTCTTTTCCGACGACCCAGGCTCCCGGTCATGAGATTTGATCGCACTTATTGTTTCTTCCTTCTGCACCCCCCTTTTAGATCGTATACTTGTTAATGGGAGTCTGATTTTCACAAATGTCTTATTTTGAAATATTTTACTGTCATTTTACACTCAAACACTATATAGGTCGAATAAAAATTATGAAAAATGTATACGAGACAACGAAAAATTGACGATAATTCCCAAGGCCCTTAAAGATTTTAAGGTTATGTTCGTTTTAGTTCTTTCTATTCGATATTTCTCCGAGATATGAAAATAATTTCAATTGCGATAAAATACACAAATTAAATAGATTTCGGTACGAATTTTTCACAAATACAGGGCTCGAACCACTGAAAGTATTTAAAAATACGAGTTTTACGGACCAAAAATGAAAAATTGCGGACCAATTGCTGACAAAAATATAACTAGTCCGAGTCAAATAAGAGAACAATAATTTTACTTAAAACAATAAATTAAATTTTTTATATAACTATAAAACATGAAGAAAACGATCGATTTCTTCATGTTTTATAATAATTAAAGATGAGTGATAAAATCATTTACAATTCATCTATTATTTATAAGAATTTTAAACTAAAGTTCTTCTTTAAATCAATTATTTTTTATAATTTTCAAAAAAGTTCTTCCACAATTTTCAAATCCATTTATTTACAATATTCAATTTTTCGAAATTTCAATTATTCGTAAATTCTTCAACTAAATATATATTAGAAAATAAAAACTTCAAAGAATATAAAAAAAAATCCGCAATTAAACTTTCACAAAAAAATTAATTCCACAGAATTGTTAGTATTTTAACTGAAATCCATTTTTAAATCAATTTTTATGAGAAAATTCTACTAGAATTAAATTATTTAAATACAAAAATAAATAATTTATTGAATAATTGCATATTTCTTAAAATTGAATTCTTATAAAGAACTGTACCAATAAATTTTTAAATAATTGAATTCTTTTGACGAATTTTAATAAAATTTTTAAGAATAATTACATTTTTTCGAGGAAATTCTGCAATGAGCTTCATTATTTATCAAAATAATTGAATTACTAATAAGAATTTCAATATTTACCAAAATAATTGAATCCCTGTTAAAATTTTATTATTTTTGAAAATAATTGAAATTTTGCCAAGAATTTTATTAAAATTTTTGAAAATAATTTCAAGTATTCGCAAAATCTTCAATTAAATAAACATTTGAAAATAAAAACTTGAAATAATATTATAAAAATTTAATTAAACTTATTCAAAAAAATTAATTTCAAAATTCAATTATTTTTAAAAATTCACGCTATTGCTTTTAATATTCAATTATTATCTAAAATTTTAACTGAAATTAATTTTTATTAGAAAATTCTACTAGAATTAAATTATTTAAATACCTACAAAAATAAATAATTTATTGAATAGTTGAATGTTTCTTAAAATTCAATTGCTATAAAGAATCGTTATCAACAAATTTTCAAATAATTGAATTCTATCAACGAATTTCAATAAAATTTTTAAGAATAATTACATTTTTCGAGAAATTAAATTAATTAATTAATTAATTAAATTTATGCAATAATTTATAACTTTTACAAAATTGAATTTGAGAAATTAAATTAATTAATTAATTAATTTTAATTAATTAAATTTATGTAATTTATAATTTGTAACTTTTACAAAATTGAATTTTTTTCGTGTTTCTAAGTAAACATCTTCTATAAATCCATTATTTTTTAATAATTATTGAAAATATTCTTTAGGAATTTTCAAATTCATTTGTTTACAATTCAATTTTACAAAATTTCAATTATTCGTAAATTCTTCAATTAAATATTTAGTAGAAAATAAAAACCTAAAATAATTTTTTAAAAAATCCGCATTTTGACGAATTTTAATTAAATTTTCGAGAATTTTTTCGAGGAATTCGATTAAAAATAATTGAAATTATGCAATTAGTTTTATTATTTATGATAATTGAATGCGTAAAAAAAATTTATTTTTTACGAAAATAATTGAATCCCCGTAAAAATTTTATTATTTATGAAAATAATTCAATGATTGCGAAGAAATTTAAAAAAAAAATTATTATTAATTAAATTCCTGTGAAATTTTTATTATTTTTTGAAAATAATTAAAAGTTTTTCTAGAATTTAATAAAAATTTTTTTTTAAATAATTGAAAACTTTTAGAAAATTTGATGAAAATAGTAGATATTGGAAATTATTGAATTAAAGAAAATTTTTGAAAATTAATAGAAATTTTGCCGAAAATGTTATTAAAATTTTTGAAAATAATTGAATTTCGTAGAATTTAAATATTTCTAAAGATAATTGAAATTTTGACCAGAATTAAAAAAAAAATTTTAATATAGTTGAATTTCTGCGAAGAATTTTATTACTTTTGAAAATAATTGATTTTCTGCAATCATTTATAGTTTCACTAAAATTATCCAAATTATATCGTACATTTTACGTACCTAGTTCGAGCCCTGCAGATAGATAATAAAAATAATGAATAATTACACTTTTCTCACGAAATCCATTGTTGGCCATGAGAACGCTTTTAATTACAATCTAAAATTACGATTTTTCCGGAAAATATTCAATTTCTAGTAAAATTTATTTAATATTACGGCAAAAAACACAAACTAAATACTTCGCGACTAGGAAAGTGGTATAAACAATGGAAAAACTTTAAAGGAGCAAATTTTCACGGCGCGTCACTTAATATTGTCATCTACTCTGAATGTTTTTTTTTACAATGGTACTTTTATTACTATATAACAGTGGGGGCGTTAATTATTCACTCGACCAACAACAATAATATCCCTATCTAATATTGCAATAAAGAACTATTATTATTAAAGAACAGCTGACAGGTGAAAAACAATGTTCCTTACTAATTGGGTTGATGGTTTCGAACTTACTCGACAGATGGCGCTAGTAGGAAACGAAAAAAAGACTGAATCGATAAAAATATCCAATATAATGAATTTTTATAAAATTCCTATTAAATTTATCACAAATTATGAATGAGATGCTTTAGGATAAAGAATTTTTACAAACGGATGGCAAAAATAGGGAATAATTACCTTTTTCAAGAAGCACTTTGTTGGCAATGGGAACGCGTCGTTAGTTTCTGTAAATTTACGATTTTTTTGTAAAGTGATCCAATTTTGTGAACAATTTCTTCTATTTACGGCAAAAGAACACGAATTCAACCCTTCGGGACATTAAAACATTACTAAAATGTGCGAAATAACAAAAAAAATGAGGGAGTAAATTTTCATGATGCGACAATCAAGATGGCGTCGCTTGCTTTGGGCGTGGCCGCTTTGTTGGTAATAATGGTGGGAGGTTGGGGTTTCCAATTTACTCAACAGGTGGCGCCACGAGTAAATAAAAGAAAAAGTCGATAAAAATAATCAATTTTCATTAAATTCACGATGAATTTACATATAATATTAAGAATCATAGATGCTTCACGATAAATAATTTTTACAAGTAGATGGCAAAAATACGGAATTAATTACCTTTTTCACGAAGCACTTTGTTGGCAAAGGGGACGCGTCATTATAGTTTCTCAAAATTTACGATTTTTATGTAAACTGATCCAATTTATTCTATATTACGACAAAAGAACACGAATTTAACACTTTGGGACATTAAAACATTACTAAAGTATTCGAAATAACGGAAAAATAAAGGGAGTAAATTTTCATGATGCGACATGCAAGATGGCGTCGCTTGCTTTGGGCGCGGCCGCTTTGTTGGTAGTAATGGTGGGGGGTTGGATTTCGAATTTACTCAACAGTTGGCGCTAGTAGTAAATACAAAAAAGAAAAATCGATAAAAATAATCAATTATTTCATTAAATTCAAGATGAATTTACATAATATTAAGAATCAGATGCTTCACGATAAATAATTTTTGCAAGTAGATGGCGAAAATACGGAATTAATTACCTTTTCCATGAAGCACTTTGTTGGCAAAGGGAACGCGTCATAATTTCTGTACATTGGCGATTTTTATGTAAAATCTCCGATTTCTAGAACAATTTATTCTATATTAAGTTGAAAAAAAGAAATTCGAGTACTTTGCGACACAAACATTATACTAAAATAGACAAAATCACGAAAATTTTTACGGAGCGACATTGAATGAGGCGTGGCACTTTTGGCGGTTTTATTTTACTTCCGATAATAGTGGGGACGCTACGACCAGTGAAAACGCATTGTAGCAAAAACGAATTCTTATTGGTGGACAACTTTGAAACCGGAAGTGGACTATGTTGCTTAGGAATTGGGTACGTAGTTACAAGTTGAGTCGACAGGTGGCACTGTCAGTAAACTGCAGTAAGCGAAAGAAAGTTGAGTGTTGATCAATAAAAATCGTCAATATAATCAGTATTAATCAAATTTGCAATGAATTTATATATTGTTTCTCAGTTTGAGACGAAAATATTCCATTCCTTACACTGGAATAAATATGCGTTTGTATAAAACTCCACTGATTCAAAAAAAGCAGATGATGGAAATTGGAGATTGCAACCTGCCAACCTAACCTCAAATGTCTGTCAAATATTCTTTCAAATTGTTTAGAAATTATCAAAAGGAGATGCAATATTGTTGTAATTTCATCAAAATAGGAGGAAAAATTGAAAGTAAGTATGTAAATGTTGATTATTATGATGTTCTGACTGAATCATAAGCAACGCCATGCCATTGGCAATAAGGTCGAAAAAATCATTTTACTTTGACTAAAATATTTCATTTATCATTTTATTGTAAGATGTTGAATATTTTCTTAATTAACATCTTTTTGAAATGTATAATTTTTCTAATTGTAAATATCTATATTTAATTTCGAACTGATATCTCCTCTTTATCATTAAATTACTAATTAAAATTTTCGAATAAAAAAAAATAAAATGGAAAATAAATTGTTCATTATTGAATAAGCAGATGTTTCGAAATCCAGCTCATTATCACATTTACTACTTGATTTATTAAAAGATAAAGTGTCATTAATTGAGAGAAATACCTCAATTATTGGCGAAAAGACTAATATTAAAATGGGATATTTCACTTTGAGAAAAATATAAATTCCAACAGATATAATTGAAAACAGCAAGAATATAATTTTTATTTAATTTTTTTCTAGTACATTCTATATATATAGTTTTTTTTTACAGTTTAATTCGACACAATTGTTTGAAATAAAAACTTTGACAAATCATTTAATAATACATATCGGTGAGTTTGTGAGACGAAAATTATTTTTCTAGAGTTTAAATAAAAGACGAAAAAATTATGAGAACCAGTGGTGGCAGAGGCAGTGATTGAAATTTAATTTTTTTTTTTTAATTAAAAAATAGGTATAGAAGCATATAGTAAAATTTTAACACTTTCGTTTCTGAAAAACTTTTGATAAATTTTTTTTGTCTCTCGACGAAGTCTGTTCTGAATAAACAACCATTCTGCCACCTCTAGATGAGAATAATAATCTAAATTGCTATAAGAGAAATCGAAAAGTAGAACAACTTTGTATGTAAATTTCTATTCAAAGAAAATAAAACAAAAATTATAATTATTTATAAATATAATTATAAAATATGATTACACATAAAAATCGAAATAATATTTTTCATAGCCAAATATGATAATTGATATTATTTTTTTGTAATATACTGGACTTTGTCGAGTTGAATAGAAATTGAACAAAAATAACTTTTGCAGGTAAAATAATTTTTACTAAATTTTATATTTTACTCTCTAAAACTGAATCAGTGAAATTTGACTGAGAATCAGTGACTCTATTCTCGCGATTTAAATCAGTGAATTTTCACTGAAGATCAGTTAAAAATGATTGAAATTTCAGTCATTTTTCACTGATTGGCCAATTAAAAAATAACTGAAATTTTCAATATATGTGACAGAAATTTTCAGTAATTTTTTAATTGGCGAATCAGTGGAAAATGACTGAAATTTCAGTTATTTTTAACTGATTTTCAGTGAAATTCCACTGATTCAAATCGCGAGAATAGAGTCACTGATTCTCAGTCAAATTTCACTAATTGTCAGTAGAATTTCACTGATTCAGATTTAGAGAGTATAATTTTGATTTTAGAAAATTAGGCAATTTAAAAAAAATTGTTTTTGACATTTTGTAATTAATGAAGTTCTGTTGTTCTACCTTTAATCGAAAACGTCTAAATTAAATATTTTTCCTAATTATCGCAGTCGTCTTTGATTGGAATAGTTTCCACATTCAGTCACTTGTAATTACAAAGAAATTTATTGAGTTTCAGATCCTTCACTGGGTTCTTCTGGCTCTGGTTCGGGCTCAGGTTCGGGTTCAGGTTCGGGTTCTGGCTCAGGTTCGGGCTCTGGTTCTGGCTCAGGTTCGGGCTCAGGTTCGGGCTCTGGTTCAGGTTCGGGCTCTGGTTCGGGTTCAGGTTCTGGCTCGGGCTCAGGTTCAGGCTCTGGTTCGGGTTCAGGTTCAGGTTCTGGTTCGGGCTCAGGTTCTGGCTCGGGCTCAGGCTCTGGTTCGGGTTCAGGTTCTGGTTCGGGCTCAGGTTCAGGCTCTGGCTCTGGTTGTTCACCAGAATTGGCACCACCACTCGAGTTCGATCCTTCACCGGAATTGTCACCCCCACTTGCATTACTTCCTTCTCCGGAATTCGATGCTCCATTGCCATTGTCCTCGGAACTTGAGTTTGAACCTTCGCCGGAATTTGCACCACCACTTGAATTACTTCCTTCTCCAGAATTTGAACCTCCTCCATTTCCATTATTTTCGGAACTTGAGTTTGAACCTTCACCGGAATTTGAACCGTTGCCACCGTTCGATCCGGAACCTTCGCCTGAATTTCCTGCATTTGATCCATCACCGGAATTTTCTCCCGAATTATTTGGGGTTTCGTTAGATGATCCACTGGGATTTTCTCCCGAATTATTTGGGGTTTCGTTAGACGATCCACCGGGATTTTCTCCCGAATTATTTGGAGTTTCGTTAGATGATCCACCGGAAATTTCACCAGAATCGGAACCGTCTGGTATGGCCTCGGTCGTTGTTGTTGTAGAGGTTGTTTTGATTTTCGTACAACGTCCAGCCCATGGATTACATATAAATGGCTTGCAACACTGGTCCGGACCGTTACACTAAATAAAGAAAATTCCTCTATTAAATGTCGTGTGACCGCAACGGTTTTAATTATTTGTGTCTAGATTCCACTAAACTCCAGGCTTAAGTGGTATGCAAACCACTTTACCACACACGGCGGTCGCTCTATGATGTCATTTATTATAAAAGCAATTTTACATTTTCTTTTCATGAAATCAATATTACTAATTAATTTTTTTTTCTATTAAATTCATTAATATTTTAATATCTTTTAGCGAAATTAAAATTATGAAATCGATTTTATAGTCTAATTCAAATTTAATTTAATTAAAATTTATTAAAATTTAATTGACAATTAAATCAAAGTTAATTTCAATTTAATTAACAATTGAAATTTTCAAAGTGAAAATTTCAACTATTTTTGAAACTCACGATAAAGCCTGGTGGTCTACACTTCCAATCCCATGGATTTGGTGGCCAATCCCATGGTCCAGCAGGGACAGCATTAACTGCTATCACAAATGTCAAAAGACACAGGATAGCTATAACTTTCATTTTGATTTGTAGCCTAGAAATTAAAAAATTTTGTTAAAACTATTTAAATTGATTTGACTGCTTTAATATTATAAAACAATTGTAAAATTTAATTTCTATAATTACACACTTTTATTAGAATATTTTATTAACAATTTTCGTTTCTTTTGCAGATGACTCTGTATGACTGATTGAATTAGATGCGAGCTGCAGTTTATATATCTTGATTGAAGAAGAAATCAGGTGACTAATAGAATACTGCATTTTTTGCACCTTGATGATAACGAACTGATTAAAAGATGGCCTTAGTTATTATTATGTGGAAATCAATTTCTCTGGAATCGCTAAAGTGGTAAATAAATCTGGAATACGCAATTACTCTGAAAATAGCTGACAACTTTGACAACAATACATTTTCCTGATTTAATTTTTATGCACTTTTATCATAGTTTACAATATGACTAATAAATTTTTCGTATTAATATAGAAAATATAATTAAATGTGTTTACATTCAATTATGTTAAAATATTTTATAAATAAATTTTAAATATTTTATTCTATTAAAAAAAAGTTCAATTAGTTTATTTGTTAATATCTTTATTATTTAGAATTTTTTATTTTCTTGAATTCTACTTTATATTATTTTAATTTTAATAATTCAGTAAATAATAATTTTCTATTATATAATTTTTTATAATTCTTTAATTTCTATAATTTTCTAATTATTTAATTTGTTAAAATCTCTATTATTGGCAATTTTTTTATCTTCTTGCATTCTACTTTTTATTTCGTATATTTTAATTTTAATAATTTGCTAAAAACTAATTTGAATAATTTATTAATTAATAGAAAATTATTAAATAATTAAAATTATCTTTTAGCGAATTATTAACATTTCTTAAAATAGTTTTCTAAACTTTCTATTCAAAAAATCCATTATTTAATTTGTTAATATTTCTATATTATAATTGTATAATTTTTTATCTTCTTGCATTCAACTTCTTATTTTTCAAATTTTAGTTTTAATAATTTGATAAAAAGTAATATTCAATTCAATAATTCTGAATAATTAATAAAAAAAAATGTATTTCCTTATGTTTGTTTCTTGGAATCATTTTCTAGTCTTTCTATTAAAAATTTTTCATTATTTTATTTGTTATATCTCTATTGTTTGCTGTTTTTTATCTTCTTGTTTTCTACTTTTTATTTCTTAAATTTCAATTTTAATAACGTTTGTTTCTTGAAAATATTTTCTAGGCTTTCTAATAAAAATATATAATTTTTTTGTTTCATTTTTTTAAGATGAAAAATTGCTAATAATACCTAAAGATTAATATCTCTCCAATATTTTTATTCATCAAATAAATAAAAAATTAAAAACAATAGAGATTAATATCTCTATTATTTAAATTTTTTATATTCTTCCATTCTACTTTTTATTTCTTAAATTTTAATTTAGAAATTTAATTTAAATAATTTAATAATTTCTCTGTCATTAATAGAAAATTTTATTTCCGCATATTTGCATTTTATTTATTCTTTAAATACAACGTAATAATCTTAATTTTACATATTTTTATTATTGAGTAAGTTAATTAAATTGCTAACTACTAAATAAATTGTCTATAATAATTTTGTTATTAAAGTAGTTAAATTAAAATATTAAATTTCTTTGCGGTTGTAAATTAAAATTTGTGAAGGGTTTCTAAAAACAGGAAAAACTATTTAACATTTTTATTTACAATAAGAGGAAATATTGGCTTCTCGAGAAAGATCACATAACTTGTTTACAATTAATCATTAACGATATAAGTGTCAAGTAGCCCTTAAACCAGTTTTCTTCCACTTGACGTAAGCGCACTTTCCTCGAGGTTAACATTAGATTATAATCAATCATTATTAAATAATTTTCATTGAATTGATTACTAATATTTTATCGAGATAAAAAAATGCATTCTCTAATATTTTTTAATCAATATTTTCCACAATTTCCGAATTTTATAACTTTAAATTTACAATTCTTTGTTTACTTTTTTACAATTAGTTTTTTTGTTGTGGGAATTAATTTAAATTAATTTAATTTTCTTAGTTTTATTTTTTCCTTTTCTCTTATTGTAAATGTAATTAATTTTACCCTGTTCTTTCGGTTTTCAAAAAATATTAAAAATATTCTCGTTTATCATTAATTTTGCTTAGGAAATTAATTACATTTTAATTTCTTTTATAGGATGGATAATGTTCATCTAAAGCGAATGGTCACCATTAGAAATATATGTACTGCAATTAATCTATAAAGAGTGAGCTTGAAAATACAATTTTGGAGAAAAGGCGTAAAGGCAGTTGATTGTCGTTCAAATCCAGTTCATGTTTTTGCCCGAAAATAGTTCAAGTGAAACAACTGGAAAGAAGGTATGGAATAAGGATCTCCTATAAGGAGAACGTAGAGACGAGGGTGTCACAAGCGAGAAACAGGTGGAAGGCTAATGCCCGGAAACGCCTTGTGCACTTCCTACTAAGCGTGGGAATTTAATTAAAACGGCAGCAACGATCACGGCAAGGTAAACTTTTAATTCGTTATACTAATGCATCTTGATGAATAACAAAAATATATCTTAAGATTTTTTCCTCCCTTCTTTTTTTTTGATTCAAGAAAAGTTTTTTTAAAATAGATTTTAATTAATTAAATTTGGATAATAATTCTTGAAAGTTATTGCTGCTTATTAAAATTGCATGGTTGTTTAATTTTCCGTTGCGAAAATCAATTTGTCTTGGTTTCGAAGGAGGTAAAAATATTATGTTCTCAGTTATTTTTGATTCTCATAAGATTTCATCTTCCACTTTTTTAAAAAACGAATTAAAATTTTAGTTATTAAACAAATAATATTTTTATTAAATAATAAAATTTTTTTAAATTATTCTCAGTAGAGAATAAATTAAATTCAAGCTTTTTAAAATTTAATATACGAAATTCTTAGGTAATTTTATCATCTTCGTCTTCATTTTAAACTAATTTGTTATATTTTCTTTTTCGTTTTTAAATTTCTATATTTACGATGATTAAATTATTATTAAAAAATTTCTGACATAAATTCAGTCATAGTTTTTCTACATTTAATAGTAATAATTACTTTAAACATACGAGTATTTAAAATATTTTTAAGTAATAAATATTTATTAATTATACTATCTATTCATAAAAGAGTAAGTAACTAATTAATTATTGCAATGACTTTTATAAATTCCAAACAAAAATTAAGGTATAATTTTTCTAAATTTAACATATTAATAATTAATAATTAAATTATTATTAATTAATAATTATTTTGAAGAAATAAATTATTAAAAATATATTTAAATAATAAATATTTATTATTTAGTAACTATTTGTAAAAGAGTAATCAATTTAATTTATTATTGCAAAGATTATTTTTTTATAAACAACTACTTGCTAAATATTAATTTATTAATGAATTATATTAATTATTTCTTTAATTCGATTAAATTAATTTCGAAAATTAATCCAGTAGTTGGTATTTTTAATAAATTATTTACCAATTTAAAATTATTTAAATAAACTCATTATTTGTTTAAACAATTTTTTAATTAATATTGAAAATTAAAAACTTGACAAAAGTATAAAAAATGAAATTTTGGTTTGAATTTTGCCGCTAATTTCAACTTGTAGTTGCGCATGCGCAATAGTCGATAGGTCGATCGATTTATCTATTGCTAATTTCAGTTCGTAGATTGCGTTTAACCGTTTTGTGTTGCGAATTTTTTCGCTCCTTTTTCTTTCGTCTTTTTATAATAAAATATCGAGTGAAAGTAATAGTGTTTAATTGATTCTTGTGATATTTATCATCTTTAAGATGTATAGATAAAATGTGAAGCAGGATTGCCTAAATAGCATTAAGTTTTTGTCGGATAGTAAAAAAGTATAAGCAATATTGTCGTGTTGCTCACAGTTTGCAATTCTGCCCTAACGAATTCAAGGCTCAACTTGGTAATTATGCAATTTTTATATCACTCTGCTTAATTTATTCCCATTATTGAATATAAATTAGTAAAACGTTTGATAAATATAAGGTCAAATGATCAAAAATTGTCGAAAAGCCCACTTTTCTGTTTAATGTTGTACAGGGCGTTTTGCGCGGGAAAACACTTTCTTGTCGGTGTCCATCTTTGTCAATGTTCATATTTCTTTTAATTGTTTATTTAAATAGTTCATGGTAAATAAATTAAAGTTTGTTCAAATTTATTATTAACAAATTCTTAGGTAATTTTTTTATCTCCGTCTTTATTTTGTCAATTTAGAAAAAAAAAATTTATGGCTTTTGTAATATTTTTTATAACATTAATAATTTTATAACTATTTTATAATAATTTTTTCTAAATTTCTAATTGCGGTGATATTATTATTAAATTATTTATTTAACTTATTAATTTAATAGTAATAGTAATACTAATAATAATAATAATTTCTAAATATTACAATATTATTTAGTAATTTAAAATTATTTAAATGAACTAGTGTATTTGTTCAAACAATTTTATTAATTAATTAATACAGATTTTGAAAATTATTTTGTCAAAAATAACAAAAATAAAATTTTTAGTTTGAATTTCGCGGCTGCTGTAACTCAGGCGCATGAGCAGTTAAAAGTTTAGGTTGGCAGTCTTGTCAATTAGTTAATAGTTTCATCGAACGCTAACTTCAGTTTGTGGATTTCGTTTAACGGTTTTCGTGTCGCAATTTTTTCGCTCCTTTTTTTTCGCGTTTTTTGTAATAAATATCGAGTAGAAGTGATCGTGTTCAATTGATTCTTGTGATATTTGTTGTCGTTAAGATGATTAGATAAAAATTCAAGCAGGATTGCCTAAAAAAGATCAAATTTTCTTTGGATAATAGGAAAGTCGCAGAGTCCCAATACATTCTGCCGTTGCCTGCAACTTGCAATTCTTTTTCGATGATTTCATGGAAAAACAAAGTAAATGTACAATTTCTATATTAATCTACTTAATTTATTTTCAGTATTGAACATAAACATATTTTAAGTATTTGAAAATTAAGTGAAAATGGAAAATTTTTACTTTGGTGTATAGTACTGTACAAGGCAGTTTGCGCGGGAAATCATTTTCTCATTGGCGTCCATCTTTGTCAATGTTCTTATTTCATTTAATTGTTGATTTAAATATTAATTTTTGAAATTTTTGCAAATAGTTTAACTATTTGTAAATAATTAATAAATAAATAATTTTAATTTAATAAATAAATAATTTCTACAATCTATTAATAATCGTTTTATTCCGGTAATTTGTTCTTAGTTGGAAATCATTTATTGTTTAATTTTTTGTTTGCTAAGTTTTTAAATAATTTTTATTTTTAAATTTAAAATTAATGTATTGAAAATCATTGCATTCCTGCAAAGAATTTTATCAAAATATTTGAGAATAATAAATTGAATTCCTTCGAAGAATTTTATTAAAATTTTTGAAAGTAATTGAATTTTATGAACAATTTCTTTCAAATTTTTCAAATAATCATGTTTCTTAATAATTGAAATTAAACATTTAATTATTGAATTTTATTAAAATTTTTAGAAAATAATTAAATTCATCTCAGAATTTTATTACAATTTGGTAAAATAATTTAATTCGCTCAAGGAATTTTATTAAAATATAGAAAATTATTAAATTCTTTTCAAGAATAGACACTATATTAAAGATTTTGAAAATAATTATATTATTTCAAAAAATTTCGTTTTAATTTTACTATTAAAATTTTATTAAAACTGTTAATTGAAAATGAAACTCTTTTACCTAAACAATTTTATTACCCAGATAGCACAACAATTTGCCACAAGTTTGCAGCAAGTTTGCATTGCAAACTTCGAAAATTTGCATGGCAAGTTTGCAGCAAACTTGCGGCAAGTTGTGAAATGTCCGCCTTGTGGCAAGTTTGCATGCAAACTTGCAGAAAACTTGCATGGCAAAGTAAATTAAAATGTCTGCGCAGTAGTTTTATATGCTATATAGAGCTGCGCACTACATTTTGTCACCTTCCCCAAGGGGGAAGGCAACATGTAACAAAATATGTACATTTTGAGTACAAAAAAATTTTTTTGAAAATTTTTAAAGTTTTTAGAAAGTTTTTAAAGTTTTCAGAAAGTTTTCAGCAAGTTTGTTACAACTTTTCTGCAAGTTTTCTGTGAAAACTTGTAGCAAGTTTGCATGCAAACTTGCCACAAGGCGGACATTTCACAACTTGCCGCAAGTTTGCTGCAAACTTGCCATGCAAATTTTCAAAGTTTGCAATGCAAACTTGCTGCAAACTTGTGGCAAATTGTTGTGCTATCTGGGTAGTGGTTTTTGGTAAATAATTAAATTCTTTTGAAGAATTTCTTTAAATTTTTTTTAAATAATGTAGTTTTTTCAATAATTTTAATTAAACATTTTTAAAATAATTATTTGAATTAAACAAATAATTTTTTCAACTTTTTAAAAATAATTTTTTCAGTTAATAATTATAATTAAACACGGAAAAAAAATTTTACCTGAAACAAATTTACAAATTTCACTATATTAGCGAAATTTGTTGATGTTTCAGTTAAAACTTTTGCTATTTTAGAGAAACTTATCGCTGGTCCAGGTGAAGCTTTTTTTCCGTGAATATTTGATTATTGAAGTTTATTAAAATTGTATTGAAAATAATTTAATTCATGCGATGAAATTTACTATTTATAAAAATAATTGAATTGTTTCGAAGGATTTATTAAAATTTTAGAGAATAACTATATTTTTTTTAAAGAATTTATAGATATAATTGAATTGTTTCAAAGAATTTATTAAAATTTTAGAAAATAATAGAATTCTTCCAAAGAATGTTATTATTTATAAATATAATTGAATTGTTTCGAAGGATTTATTAAAATTTTAGAAAATGATTTAATTCTTCCGAAGAATGTTATTGTTTATAAAAATTATTGAATTGTTTCGAGGGATTTATTAAATTTTAGAAAATAATAGGATTCTTTCGAAAGATTTATGTATTAAAACTTTAGAATAATTGAATTTTTTCAAAGAATATTGTATTATTTATAAAAATAATTGAATATTTTGTTTTTGTTGCAGGTGTCTTGGAAATAATTCAGTGATGGTGTCCAATTTCTTATTTGGAAATCAAGTGACTAGTTTTGGCCGCACACTAGTCGAAGTCTTAAGTCGAAGAAAAAAAAGAATTGGCTTGAGGAATCGAAGCCAAAATTGGAGAAGAAGAAGAAGAAAAAGAAGAAATCAAGTGAGAAGGGCCGATAAATCGAAAAGGCAGTAGAAGAATTGGCCTTAGTAGTGAAAACCATAAATCGAAGAAATAGAAGAAGAAATCAAGTGAAAAAGTGAATTTTTGGTCAATCTCAATAAAGCCTCTGCGCCTGTTTCAGGTGTTATAGTGATAGTGTGAAAGTGTGAAAGTGTGAAATTTGTGAAAGTGTTTGAAGATGAAGTAATTCATGTACCGTCAACCTCCAGCAAAGTAATTTGGATGGACGACCCATCCGGCGAAGGATATGACAAAGTGAGTCCCTCTTGTCTCCAATATGGTAGGAGGAGATAAGTTGTAATAACGTATTTTGAGTGTCCAATGATCCTGTCAACTTAAAACAATATATGTTCAAGCTCAAAATTAATTAGTTAATTTAAAAACACAGGGTTGCTTCGCAACCTGGAAACCAGGAAAACCTGTAAACGTTAGGGAATTTTATAAATCTTTAAAAAATCTGGAAAAGTCAGGGAATTTTGATCGAAATCCTGGAAAATTGTTGTTTTCCAAAGTTATTGTGCTTATTCTTAAAATCTAATTTTACTTAAATATTTTATAATTAATTCAATTTTAAATGAGTTGCGTTTACAATTTTCATAAATAGATAAACTTCAAAAGGTTGTGATTTGAAATTTTATAAAATTTCAATTTTCAATGAATTTAATTAGAAAAAATCTTTTTGAAAATATTAAGAATTCAAATTTTTCTGAAATTAGTTAAACTTTTTAATATAAATATGTAATTGATTATTAAAAATAATGGATTTACAGAAGAATTTTACTTAAAAACACTAAAAGTAATTGAATTTTGAAGCAATTACAGATGATTGTAGAAATTCAATTATTTTCAAAAAATTTAATAAAATTCTTGGCAAAATTTCAATTATTTTCAAAAACTTTTTTCAATTCAATGTTTTTTAATATCTACAACTTCAATAAAATTTCCAAAAAGAATTCAGTTATTTAAAAAAAAAATTTTATTAAAATTCTACGCAAACGATTAATTATTTTCATAAATAAAAATTTCGCACACATTCAATTATTTACAAATTATTTTCTTAAATTATTATTCAATTATTTTCATAAATAATAAAACTCATCGCAGACTTTCAACTCTTTTTAATACAATTTTAATGGAATTCTTTGTAACAATTCAATTTTTTTTAAAATAATTTTTAAAACATTCCGTAAGTGAGGCTAAATTCGCTCATGTAGGGTAAATTCGCTCAACCAATGTCTATTTTTTAAAATTCGATTAACATACTTTTTAGACAGAAATATTTAAGATTTACAATTGTTTTGGTTAATATAAATGCTAAACTTTAATTTAAAATTTATTTGCAGCAAATTCATTGGTAACTTTCAGTAGAAATTATATTTAAAACACAAGTGAATAATTTTCATATTGAACAAGTAGTATGAAAAAGTAGGGAATAAAGCTTTACTTCAAAATTTTTAAGTTGAATACTTCTGAACATTACATTTCCTGTATCTCCAACATGATTTTCATAAAGCACAAAAATTAAAGCAATAAACAGATTCTGCAAAAAAAACAATTTAAAAAAATTCAAATTTGTTGTGTAAATTTGCTCAGGAAATAAGTCTACAAAAAAGATGTTTGGCCCTGGATATTTTAAGTATGTTAATTAATTTAATTTATAATTCGATTTTTTTAAATAATAGTACTCTTATAACTGAAAATTAAACGATTTAAAACGGTTTAAGCACTAAACTGTCAAACTTAACCTTGTTTTTTATGGTTATGAGTACGTTTGATTGAATGATTGAATCTAATTACTTATTGATATAACAATATTAAATATTTATTCCAATAACTTTGTATATTGTTCTTAATTTTTTTCTTTATTGATTCTAAAGAATATTTAGTTTCATTTTTGCAGATTATAATATATTTTGCCAGAATAATAATGGTGAGCGAATTTACCCATCATTTAAAGGTAAAGTCGCTCACAAAAAAACGGCTTATAAATAATTTTCTGCAACATATTTTAATTTCTTTATGCAGTAATAGGAAAGATAAAGGGTTAAAGATTATATATTTTCAGTGCCAATGTTTATTTTCATCGTTTCCTGAAGTTATTTAAAAAAGAATTGAAAAATTGAGCGAATTTAGCCTCACTTACGGTTCTTCGTATAAATTTAATTAATTTTCAACATTTTAGCTAAATTCAATTATTTTCAATGTTTACTATTTCAATAAAATTTCACAAAAGAATTCAATTATTTAAAAAGAAATTTTAATAAAATTCGTCTCAAGAATTCAATTATTTTCAAAAGTATAATATAATTCTTCACAAAAATTCAATTATGTTAAAAAATTTACAAAAATTCTCGTAAAAATTTCAATTATCTTTACAAATAATAAATTTTTATTTCAAAACTCAATTATTTACAAAAATGTAAGTAAAATTTCTCGTAAAATTTCAATTATTTTTAAAAACTTTCCTCAATTCAATGATTTTTAATTACTTTAATAAAATTTCCCAGAAGAATTCAATTATTTGAAAAAAAATTTAATCAAATTTCTCGAAAAACGAAATTATTCTTAAAAATTTTATTAAAATTTGTCAAGAGAATTTAATTATTTAAAAATTTGTTAATAAAATTCTTTATGAAAATTCAATTTTAAGAATCATTCAATTATTTAATAAAATATTTATTTTTGTATTTAAATAATTGAATTCTTGTGGCCTTTTTTAATAAATATTGATTTAAAAATGAATTTTAGTTAAAATTTTAGATTATATTTAAATATTGAAAGCATTATAGCGTAAATTTTTAGAAAAACTTAATTGAATTTTGAGAAGGTTTCAAATTAAAATCTTTGAAAATTTGAATTTTTCACATTTTTAATTAATAATTCTGTAGAATAAATTTTTTTCACAAAGTTTAATTGAATTTTTTTTCAATTACTTGAAGTTCTTATTTTCTAACATATTTTTGGTAAAATTGAATTGTAAACAAATAGATTTGAAAATTTTCAAGGAACTTTTTAAAAATTATTTTAAAAAACAATTTAAAGATAAATTTTAGTTAAAAATTTTAGAAATGAATAATTGAATCGAAATGATAAAAATAATTTTTGTACAATATTCTTATAATATAAAATAATAATTTTACCAAGTTTTAATTATATATATTATAAAACATGAAGAAAGCGATCATTCCGAGTCGAAGACTCGGTGTGATCGATATCTTCATGTTTTATAATAAATATTCTTGTATATTATTGAATTTCAAATTTTTGAAAATCTTAATTTCTATGAAAAAATAATAATAATTAAATATTTATTTAAAAATGAAGTTATTCATGTTTTCAAATAATTTTACTTTTGAAGAAATTTGTAAATAAATTTGTAGTTTAAAAAACCTGGAAAAGTCAGAGAATTTGAAATGAGCAAAAGCGTGGCAACCCTGAAACAAACTTTTGATAAAATCATATGGGAAAAAAATAGATTTGACTTTTGTTTTCATTTTTTTAATTTATCAAATAGATAAGAAATAATTAAACTAAATTGGAATTACAGTTTCATTTGGCACTCAAATTAAAAAATCACATAGTGAACGTTAATTAAAGATTAATTTCTTTAATTAGCGAACTTTTTACACCATTCTTTTTTTTTCATAAAACAGGAAATTCTTTTCTCGGCACGCAATTTGCAATTCTTTTCAAACATTTTTAGTTTCATCCTTTAAAAATTTCCTTCAATAATTGAATTTATAATTGGATTTTAAAAAGCGCGATTTTCTTTCGTTAAAATATAAACCGGGAAAAGATTCCTGAAAAATGTATTTGTGTATTTTTATTCAGAGACTCTTATGATTATAAATATTTAATGTTTTTTCTATTTTAAAAAAATTATTTTGTTTATAAAATAAATTTCAAAAATTTTGAATATTAAATATAAACGTTTGACAATTAATTTTCAATTTTCAATAATATTTTGCAACTTTAATCAATTTTCGTCTTTATTAATAATTTTTTTGTTTATAAATTAAATTTTTAATAATTATATTCAATTTTAAATACAAATGTTCTATATTCTATAATTTTCAATAAAAATTTGTAACTTTAGTCAATTTTTGTCTTTATTTAAATAATTATTTTCATTGTAAAGTAAATTTTGGAAAATTAATTTTCAATAAATTGTATTCACAAATGTTTAACGATTGATTTTTAATTTTCAACAATAAAAATATTTATAACAAAAAACTACTTATTTTGTTTATAAATAAATTTTTTTTTAATAAATTATAAAAATTAATTTTCAATTTTAAATTTAAAGGTTGAACAATTTATTTTCAATTTTCAATAAAAATTAGTATAACTTTAGTTAATTTTCGATTTTATTAATAATTATATTATTGCCCGTAATATTAAATAAATTGAAAGTAAATAAGTATTTCTTGAATTCCTATTTTAAGTTAAATTTTGATTAAATTATAGCATTTTTTCATTTAATTACATAAATTTTAGAATTCAAATTAAAGTTAAATTGAGTCTCTGAATATAATTTTATTTATATAAATGTGCATGTATATGTGTATAACGTTTTCTGCAATTAGACGTGAAATTTGCAATAAGTGTGAATGTGTTATTGTTTATTTTTGCAGATTTCCATCTATTAGAAATTAAATTAATTATGTCATTAATATACGATTATAAAGTACTAGTCAAATTCAAATGTCCTTTTAAATTAAAGTGGATTATATTTACCGCAGTAAATTTAATTTCCTGAAGTAAATGTTCGTGTAAATTAAATTTATTAAAGGAAATAAACTAAAGTAGATATATAGATTCTTTTTCGAAATAAATTAAAGTATAAAGAAATTTTGTTTTCTATTTATTTAACTTTTATCAAAGCGGAAAATTTCTCTTTTGATTTACAGATACATTTTTTTCGATAATTAAAAATTAGAAAACGTTATACACTTGTTAGAGATATGTTTCAATTCCCTAACGTGGCGTTGAAACATAATGTTGTGAATGTTTAAAAAAGCCCTAACGTGGCGACTCAAGCTTAAGGTGTCAGTTGCGTCCCGGGACGTTAAAGGCCAACGCTGACTTATGTGCCTAAACTCTAGAGTAGAATTATTTGCACCTTGGGCAGAGTGATTGAGAACCGTGGAGTGTGTGCGGAGAATATTTTATCTCGTCAGGAAATTAGAAAGTTAGAAAAAAATATGAGGTAGTCAATAGTCAAGTTTAGTTTTTATTAGTTAATTGTTCTGGTATGAATGTTTGCTTTTAAGTAGGCAGCATTGGGATTTAATATTTTTTGAATATTCAGAAAAATATTTTATTCTAGATTGTTTCGATTACAATCATTATTTTTATATCCGTGTGTTAGTATAAATTTATTTTTTTTGGGGAAATTATTTTTTGTTATAAAATTTGAGCGTAGAATTACAGCAAGCGGGGCTGTTGCCTGAAGAAAGAAGAG